GGCTTGGTGGTGGTGGTGGTGGTCCAGTCACCCCAAACCTCTGTGGTCGTCTTGACAGCAGCTGGCTTGGTGGTGGTGGTAGTGGTGGAAGACCAGTCAGCCCAGGTCACCGCGGAGGGGGTGGTGGTGGTGGTGGTGGTGGAAGTCCAGTCAGCCCAGGTCACCTCGGAGGTCGTGGTGGTGACCTCGGTGGTAGTGGTGGTGGTGGAGGTCCAGTCGTTCCAAGGTGCGACAGTGGTGTTGGTGTATTGTCTGGCGTTCATTTGGCTGGCAGCGACAGTGCTGGCAGCAGCCAGTAGGACGGCGGATGATTTAACCATTTTGATGAGATTGATGCTTCCGGGGGAAGAATACAGGTGTATTGAGTGATTGACGACTGCGCAGAAACGAATGGACAGGAGCCTTAGCGAAGGAGCTCTGGATTAGACAGGCGAGAGATGATTGAGGTAGAAGCAGAACAGAGTGCGAGGAGGACGGGATGGCAGTATTTTGTACCTCTGTATCCTACCGTCCAACCTGTCGACCTTGGTCGCATCCATTCGCATCCGGAGCCAGGTGGATCAGCATTGAGCCTCCATAGACGAAAAAGGCGACAAACCAGGTTGCATCTCCAGCATCATCCACACCACACTCGATTCCTGTTCCTGAAAATATGCAGCAAAATATGGTGTCATGGTGGGGGGAGGACCGAGGTGGCTTTCGGCCACGAGGGAGCTTTAGGCTGGTGTATCCGTACTACTAGTAGCAAGCCAGTCGCCAGTGGGACATGGCAGGCTAGTAGAATGCCGGCGTCAAACCCTTGCTCAGACTTTTCTCTTCCCTTGTCCTCCCGGGTCAAGCGCACCAGACAGAAGGAAGAATACGATCGGGGAGCAGTCATGTGAGCATCAGCGCAGGATGTTGAAGCTGAGCGAGCCTGACAGTATGACACCTCTTGGTCTGTCGATATGGAAGACACACAGACGCACCTCCCGCTATCACTATCGAGCCGCAAGGTGACATTGTGGGAATGGTCCAAGCACAGGCCCTCAAGGACAAGAATAGCAACGATAGTACCTATCGAGGTGTCCACCGTCTTGTCTGCTCTGTACGGAGGACGGTACATAGAATACCTCTGTCATTCCACACTGGGATCGCTGGGAGGAGTCACAATGGATCTGGTGGAGGCATTGGTTGGGAGACGAATCATACCTCAGGTAGGTAGGTACCTGTAGGTACGGGGTACTCCGTACATGTACGAGTAGGTACTTGCAGACTGAAGTTCTGTCGCCCAGGCTGGCGTCATCTTTGGCCAAGCTTTCACCATCAAAGGCTGACTGTAGATACCTAATGTGATGAGAAATACAGATACTTCACACTGCTAGTAGCATCAGGACCACTGGTACTATGTACTAGGTAGGACTAGTACAAGAACTAGTAGCACAATCCATCCAATAGTCCTTAGCCGTGGCGTTGGGGCTGCTTCCGGGTTGAAAACCGGCGTAGAAGAGGTTAGAAGGAGGAAGAGCTTTCCGAGCTTCCAGCTACTCAGGTGGGCGGCAGGCGGGGCCCTCTGCCTAGCATGTGCACTAGCTGCATACTAACTGCTAGTTAGAGCCACTAATGACCAGCACGCCGTTAGCGTAAAGCTGGTGGCATGGCACTGGAGCTCGAGCTGCTGGGTTGGGCTGGGAACGGACCTCACGTGGGTCTGTTCTGAAAAAGAATTCGCCGACGTGCAGGCGGTTAGTGAGGCTTAATGCCCAGTTTTCCAATCACGATGCTGTGCCTGGTAAGACACATCCCCAGAAGTGAGACATGCTAGGATGTTGCCTGCATTCTTCCGAGGAAGGAGCGTTGGGGGAATCATCGCCTGGCTGCTGGGCTGCCTCTCCGCTGCCTTTGTTTTTGTTTACAGAGGATGGAGTCCTTGTCACTGCTCGGCTGAACTGGTTGAGAAAGGCAATGGTCAAGCAATAATGGGATATGTCAACTTGTCACCGTGTACGGACGGGGTACGGATACATCAGCTGTCTTCCCTTCTGATCGCGGAAGCTCGGACACCTGGTCAAGGCACCGATCACATCTGTACTGAGTATGCACAGAGTATTCTTTCACCCCGCAGGGAATCTGCTACCGGAACCACAGCCGGGGAAGATAATGGAAGGGCTGTGAGCTCTCGTCGTGTTGTTCTCAACGGCAGTGGTCATCCGCAGGGTGTATCCGTACTTTGCCTTCTGTTCCTTGTCTGCTGAGCTGCTTGCCCCCGTCTGATGGGCCCTAGAATCTTGAGCGTGGTATGATTGTGCGAGAAGCTGCTGATCTGAGTTGATTTCTCTGTTGTTCTCCGTACGGCTCCTCGCCGCGTTTTTTCACTGGCTAGCAATGAGGATAACTCACAGCTCTGTTTTCTCTCTGCCTTGATTTTACTTCGGGAACTAGTAGTGCACCCCCATCCCATGGCGGAGGCCGCCGCCCAAGCCTGCAAAACTTGTTCGCAGTGTGGTGGCAAAGTACCTCAGATATCGTCATTGAGCGGTCGCTCGAATCAGACTAGAGGCTTGCCAGTCAATAGCCGCATCCTGCGTGTGGATGTGCGCTGAAGCCTGGTGGGGAACGCCACCCAGTAAGCGAACCGTCTGCCGTCAACAGTCGTCGCATCCGAATGTCCTGGGACCTGATCGGCAAAGCCGTCTGATTCTTCTGCGGATAGCAACAATAGGTGCAACCACCCGAACAACTGCTATCGAAAGCGACTCGACGAGCAGCTGTGGGTGCCCCATCCGGCAGGTGGCAGGATTTGGCAGCTGAGGTCATCACCATCGATATCCTGCAGTAGCGATTTCAATGGTGCCAGGAAGACGTCCAGCTAAGAAGGTAGAGCAATTTCTACTCTGCTGCTCTGTATGTATCGCGGTGAAAGACCAGACAAGACAGAGCCTGATTGCCAGAAGCTTCATTCGTCCTGGCCAGTATCCGACCCGCTTTCCCAACCGAAACTATAGTTTTCCGACATCTGGGTAAGCTCATTGTACAGGTTCTCGCGCTCGTCCAATCGGAGGTATCGAAATGTTGAGTTCCTGAGAGCCAGGATTTCGTCTTTCATCCTCGAATCGCACACAAGGCCGGCCGAGATACCCAGCCCACCCCGGGTCTGTTGACTGGTCTCGAAGAGTCCATCTGGAAAAGTTTCCAGCAACGGGAACTGGACCCTGGTTTGATAACTACGCGGAGGTCAGTCAACCGGACAGTGTTTGGGTTTGTTTGGGTTTGTTTGGGTCCACCGCTTTGTTTTTCCAGTTCTTCACAAGAGAGGAATGGCAAAGACGAGCCAGCGTGGGTACTCACACCTCAACAACACTCTCTTCGTTGATCCTCCTGCGTAGCCTTTCCTCGAGGCCAAGGCTCAATGGCCGGGGTTCAGACTCCAAGTGATCACGCTCGCATTCAACTTGGGCAAACACGTGGAAGGACTTTGATGCAGGCTGCGGGCTTGAACTGGGGAGATAACTTATATCAAAGCGCGAAGGCTCTGGCTGCGATTGTGCGGAATTCTTTTCCCCAGATGGATTTCTCCCGTTAATTTCCCTGGCGGGCGCACCATGGCCGTCCTCATGGACATTGCCCACTGCATTGGTCACACTCGCCTGCAACTCGAATAGATTCTGGCGCCCGTTGGTGTTCAAGGCATCCTCGAACAACGTCAATGACCCTCGTTTGCGTGCATTTGCAGTAAGCCGTGTCGGAAGGGTGCTGGACTCAAGGCCGGCGCAGAGGAGTGCAGTGGTCATCCAATCAGAGCGGGAACGAAGATTGACATAGCCTGGTAGCGACCAAGGAGGAGGAGGAGCCGCGAGCCGCACGTATACAGATGCTTGCTGACCGATTGTGCTTAGCGATCTGGCAGTGTTGCAGGCCCGTGCCAACTGCTTTTGCTTCGGATGTTTAGCCGCGCATTGGCAGGAAGGGTGAACGACCTACCCTGGCGACTCTGGAACCATCCTCAATGCCCCAAGTCCAAATACTAGTCTTGCCGTACTCATCTCGCAGGTGTTCGATATATTTGGCCGCGAACCCTCCCCAGGCATCGTCGGCCCCCGTGAAGATTTGAAAGCCTTGCATGTGGTCGCATTCTTCGGAAAAGGGTCGGATGTCGCGATCAAGCAGATCAAATTCCCGTGTGAGGTTTTCAAAGAGTTCCCCTCCAGCATGCCAGTCCTCGAACGGCATCAGCTGTGAGTTCAATTCAAATTCATTCAACTGAACAATGGACTTAGGATGATAAAAGACTCTATTGAAGTCGGACCAGTATCGCACATCAGAGTCATGAAGCTGCGACGTTGGAAGGCCGAGGTCAAGCCTCCTCTGGTAATCCGCAGGTTCAATGGCGGGCTCCTGTTGTGTCGAGGTTATCCCATCCCTACACTTGGTCAGCTTCAAAACGAGATGACTTTGTTGTGGAGGCGAGCGTACCAGAGTCCTCGCACAGGTTGCTCTGAGTCCTGTTGGGTGTCATACAGCGCGTTGAATCTACGCATAGTCCCAAAGCCTCCTTTCAGATCGTAAATGACCGTTCGAGGAGTAAAGGTCTCTGACCCATCAGGCCCGAGGCCGGGCCGGAAATGGACGTCATGGTCAACGACCGACTCCTGATTCTCGGAGTATGTGAAGTAGGATTCCTAGCCACCGGACAGTCAACGTTGAGCACTCGGAGCAGACGTCGGCGCCTGGGATGAATGATACCTGCGTGTTCCAGAAATGGGTGGCGAGATAATTACTCCTCTGTCCCAGTTGAACAGTCACGATCTCGCGCATCGTTGCAGCATCTCCCTGCCTCACGCTTGGCCCATTTCAGGTTTGCTGGTGTTTTGTATTACCTAGCACTAGGCGTCATTGTTGGCTACCTAGCACATACAGGTTGGGCGAGGTGGAACAAAGGTACACATTATCGGTGATTTCGTTGAGACGACTCTGATAATATTAATACGCTGCTGTAATAGTACCTGGTACAATTGTAGAGCTGCGCCAAGACCTGGATCTCAGCATACTACGTACGTCGCTGGTGATGTGCTTCTTTCCCCGCATCCCCTCGATCCTAAGATAGAACCTTTCGTATTCGAATCCATATCATAACATGCACCTACTGTTGCTGTCCTGAGGCAACACGCCTTGCTCCATTGCTCCATGGCTCAGTGATAGAGTAGGTGGAGGTGCCATACAAGTGCCCGTCCAGCTTCCCCCACTAATGCAGCGACCACCGTACAGAGCCGTAACCGTGTGCCTCAACAACAACATGCGATAGTTGTGCAACTAGGTATAGGTACCTGACCTTGACCATTCCTCGCACCTTATCCTGTCATACCTCGTACCAGCCGGATCACTTCTCGTGGTCCTTAGCCACTATGGAACACCTCTTCTTCAGTCCCACCGAGCAAGCAATGGCCATTGAAAGTAACGCAGCTTTCCTTGCCGAGGTTCACGATCGAGACTGGAGTGCTTCACTTGCTTCCAATCAGGACTTGATGCCACATATCGCACCAACTACGCCATGGCTGGGGTTCGACCACCAAAGAGAAAGGGACAAGGAATGGATACCCATTCAACGTGACCTGAATCAATATCCTGTCGTAAGAGGCTGGACTATACTGCAAGCATGGGATCGTGGAGATCTACGGAAAGCCCACCCTTCATTACGGGACCCGACTTTGTCACCATGCGATGTTGGAGAACGTGTGGCTTCCATGATACAAAGTTGGCTCTACTTTGGGCTTATCGAAGCGATCGTTGGAGACTGGGTTGATGTCAGCTATCTTGCCAGACCGGACAGCAGCGGACGCATGCTACTCTATTCCCGTAATCTAGTTTACCTCATGTATGCGTGGCTAAGGAGACTACAAGAACTAACCGCAGAGTCAAGAGCAATAGCATTGCATAATGCACATGCTAACCTGATGACCGTGGCGACCTGCATCCAGAAGCTGCTGGCGTGGTCCGACCCAGGCACCGCCGAGGAGCAGTGGACCAGATCCAACTTCCCAGGCTACATTGAAAGGATTTATGAAGTCACCCCGGCTGTTATCAGACTGACAGATGCTATCGGAGCAACCCGCGATCGCATTGCCGGCGAATCAGGGATTCGAGTGTTCGCAATAGCCGGACTTGCTGAAGCTTATCTGGATCGCAACGCCCGCTTGCGAGCTCGAGGCTGGTGTCCATTTCTCATTGCTTGCTGTTTGCATGATATGAACGATTCGGTCATTGACTGGCTAGACGCAGCACAAAGAGCCAACCCAACTGGCCGACATGACGAATGCACGCATGCCGCCTGCACTGCCAACAACGTCGATGTAGCACGCTATCAGATGCAGCATTGTACCGCCGACTGTACGTGTCACCCGATTCGACCAAACGTCGACGATGTTATACGAGCCATTGAAAATGATACCATTCCGACCGTTCGTTTAACGAAGACGGCTAGTGGTATCAAACTGCAAACTGAAGCTACCTGCCGTGCTGATGACGAATTTGTTGTCTTCTCACATGTTTGGGCGGATGGACTTGGCAGTACTGCCGAGAAGGGCATCTATGAGTGTCAGGCGCTGAGGCTTGCAGAGATAGCCGAGGAAGCAAAGCCTGGCTGCCCTTGGTGGATTGATTCGTTGATGGTGCCTGAGAGGTCTCCATATCGGTATATGGCGATCAGAAAACTGAGGGACGTATACACGAACGCCACCAAAGTTGTGGTCATCGACAAGAGTCTATCACAAGTCCGCAATGATGACACCGCTGAGATCGTCCTCTGGTCTATTGTGTCGTCTTCCTGGGCCCAGAGGTTGTGGACTTTCCAGGAATCTTTTCTGCCCACGTATATTGACATCCTGTTTAAAGATGGACTGAGATCGTTTGAGCCAGCCGCACTTCCCCGGTCTTTGTTGCCGCCTGTGATCCAAGTAGTGTGGAGGATTCTTTATGACCGAGTCGGAGCTCTCAGGCCCAATAGAGCACAGCAACTCACACGCAGGACCAACCTTGGCGAGATCCTCGCAGCTATGAACTGGCGCACAACCAGCCGGAGGTCTGACGAAACTTTGGCAGCCGCCGCACTCCTCGACTTCGATCCCTGGAGCCTCCCTGAGGATGAGCAAGACTCCGAGGGAAGAATGGAGAGATTGCTTCTGCTTGTCAGCGACCTTCCGGACGACATAATCTTCTTCACATGCCCCAAACTGAGACGCAAACCTTTTCGATGGGCGCCCGCCACATTGATGGCACGCTCTCCAACAATGGTCGACATCAGCCACGATCACCAGAGGGCCAAGTGTACAGCGGAAGGTCTTCTAACAAGACAACGTTTCCTAGAGTTTGCAGATTCGCAGATGGGTCAAGACGGTTTGCAATACTGGTTCAGAGATCCTGAGACACTGGAAATCTACGGTGTTTACTGGGATCCGGAGACGAAGAACAACCCTGGTATGTTCAACGCCGTGGTCGTACGCCCAATCGAGGACGACCAATATGTGCAGCCTGAGATGAATCAGGTCGTGGAGGGTGTGGCACTTTTCTTAGGGGCAGAAGGGGGAGACCTAGGCGAGGATGTGTCGCAAGCCGCATATATCGGAAGAGTAACCATATTTCAGGGTGACGAAAACGACGTGCCTGAAGGCACGGCGTTTATCATGACGAGTTGGAAGACGGAAATGTTGTGTATAACATGATTTTGCTGCAAAAGTTGTAAGCATGGCAGCAACAAATATCCGGGCCAGCTTGGGCGGGCTTCGGGGTACTACTCTGCTAGGCAACACCCGGAAACAGTGCCGAGAAAGATGCGATATTCACGATATTCACGATATTCACGATATTCACGATATTCACGATATTCACGATATTCACGATATTCACGATATTCACGATATTCACGATA